TTTAGTCTCGTAGGGTAAAAGTCATCCATGTTCTTTTATTCGAGATGGAAAATTTCTACCATGAGATGGTTTTTTTCAAAGTCAAAGGTGTAATTTTTGTTCTTTACACAAGACTTAGTCAGGCATAGTAAAGCTGCTTTCAGTTTTAAACCGCAGCTATTAAAATAAACGCCACGCAATGCATGTACTTGTAGAGACGATGACGTTTAACGTTGACGTTGGCTATCTTGGACATTGCAAAACAAACAAACGGATGCATAAGGTAAAGAAAAGTAACTAAAATTGATACAAAATGTCTGTAGCAGGAGTGAGACGTGTTAAAAAAATGGGTGCAAGGACAAGGGGAATTGATTTTGCTGTTGCTGTTGTTCGTTTTAGCTGTGAGCCATACAATAAAATAAAATTCCTGCATGTAGGGCACCAACAAAAAATTTGACTTTCCTGACGGTTCTGATTATTATCAGCCATTTAGCGATGTTTGCTGCATTGCAGACCCATTCACCATTTTATCGTCATTCAACCAAAACTCACTTTTTGAGAGAAATTACTAGTTTAGAATTTGATTGTCAGATTAAGATGAACGGTTATAAAAAGCTACTGAGTGGCTGCTCTTGTCTTTCATTATACGGCGCATTTCGACTTACTGTCTTCAAAAACGGCACTATTGATTTCTTTTACTTGTATTCTGTTTCTTAGATTTCTGCCTTATTGCGTTAGTGATTGAGCGTGTGCGATGTTTTAATACTCATACGACACCTTCATGATGCCGTGCTTCAACAATTTTTTCCTTGTGCTTATATTGTTATTGCAATGCCTCTACTACCTTTATTCGCTGGAAGACAAGTTCATTTAGTGTGTACTCAATCAAGGTCAACGATTCAGCCATACTACAGAGGATCGTGACATATGGAAAAATGTACAATTATTTGTTTGATTGTATACTTGTTCTTCTTCCCTGCTTGTCTGATACGTAACTGGCGCCTGTATACCAGTGGAACGAAGCATTCAAGTTGATAGGTTACGTGGGGTCTGGGTAATGGTTAGGACGGAGGCGGGCGGCGGTAAGGGAATCATGGGACAGTAACAAGGTAGTTGTATGTCAGAAAAAATCTGTCAACTTTTTTCGTGCTATTCGTTCCTTTATTCCCCGTCGTATGGCTGCGATTTCAAAATCTGCTGACTGTTTGATTGCGTTTAACGTTGTGCAACGTCTCTACCCACGCTCACAGAAAGATGCCGTCATGATGACGAGATTGTCTAGGGAATTCCCCCAGGACGTCAACCAAGAATTTCCATCGTCATCACTATTTAAACTGAGGTTCGTAATATTCTCACTGAGACAAGTAAAATCGACTTATTTGGTGAGTATAGTTCATTATCATAGTAAAGTCATGACTTATTCATCTCCATCAAACGGAAGGGTAAATTAAGTGTCAAATTAATCGTGATTTTAAATCGCTTACATTTGTATAGGCGTCGCTTCGATTAGATTACGATTAGTAGTGTATACGATATTAATTGTTATTATCTGGTCGTGTTTTAAGCTGAAACGTCTGATTACCTTTGCAGTAGCCGTTTTACTTCGGAGCAGAATATTCAAAGTGAACTTACCAGAACAAATCGTGAGGAAGACTGAGTCCCCGATGTGTTGCTTCAGAATCGTAACGAGAACAGTTTTTATGGCAGCCCTGGTAAGTTTGCGTAGTTTAAGGACTTTTAATGTCATTTCGCCGAGCTTTTTCGGTCATAGCTATTGACGAATGGTTGTTATTGCAGTATACGTATTATGTTTTATTAGGGTCGCATAACCTCATAAAGTTAACACGTTCCATTGAGCGATAAGATATCTATTGTGTCATGCGAACAACACAATTGAAAGACAGCCTCGCTTATCGTGACAAGGCCACAGGTCCAGTATTTTGCTAATTCAACTCCAGCCACACTTGTAAGCATGCGTTCCACCAATTTCCTGTTCAGTTTAATTTGCCCAATTGCAACTGATCATTATAAAACCGCAGAAATGTGAATTGTTTTTTTTTATATCATTTCGTATTTTGTCTACCTGTGAAGAGTCAAGAAGAATTCGTTTGTTTATGATTTTGTGGGACGTCGGCCTTTGCCACTGATTTATTTTGTCTCATTTTCTTTATTGGTTGAAAAAATTACTTGATAGATAAATGAAAAAAACACACAAAAAAGCCATAGTATCGCGATCACGTTAACTTTTTGATTCAGAAACTTTTCATTGTTTCATAGCTCCAAGCTCAAACCAGCTGCTGCTCTGGATGCAAAGATGACGAAGTCACCTGGCGAAGCAATAATGGAACACAGAATGACACGTGCTTGGCTTGTATCGACTGTCCAGATGGAATGGAACCCTCGATTCCTTGCGGAACGGTCGCCAAATATGGAACACATTTACACTGTGTGGCATGTAGAGAGGGAACCTTTTCCGATACGTACGGCAAAAGACAGTGCAAGCCGTGTTCCGTATGCTCAGTTGGGCGAACAGTCGCACGAAACTGCTCTGTCACCAAGAACACGCAATGTGGCTCTTGTAGCCATGGGTATTACGAGAGTAAGATCGTTTTTGATTGTCTGCCGTGTTCTGTCTGTTGTTGGGACGAAAAAGATCAACTCGAGAGTCAATGCAAAGCCCAGGGTCTACCAAGTCATCGCCACTGCAAACCCAGGCACGAGCGTGGCTGCCAAGCGCCTCGGACAAGCGGGGTAAAAGTGACATCTGGCGCGGCAACTGGGCGACCAAATCAAGGAGCTACGAAGAAAAACAGCAGCAACACCACCACGACAACGACGACAACAACAACAACAACAACAAAAACAACAAAAACGACAACAGCAACCGAAGAAAAAGTAGCATCACTTTCACCCACAACAGTCACAACAGACGAGCGTTTCATTAGCAGTAAGACCAGAGATCAAAACACGAGTTCCAGCACTCTCTCCACTTCTTCAACTGAGCTGCCAAAAAGAACTGCTTCAGCTACAGGCACTGTTGGCAAAAGCAATCTAGCTTTTAAAAAGAGCAAAGGTTCTTTGTCAGACAGTAGCGGCGCAAACAAGAATCGAGTCATTAAGGCTGTGACTGTGAGCATCGCCATTTTAATAATGATTGTATTCGTCGCCAAGAGGAAGAAAATTGCGGCCTACTTCAAGTGGGCGAGGTG